TACCAATACCCGGATTGAATTTCTGGAAAATTGTGATTCCGCTTCCTTGAAATTGGCCACAAATAAATTATTTTAGTATTAATAAATGCATGATTTATGTTGATTTATTGATTAATGTTGTTGCTATTTTTTAACATTTAAATGGAAAAAAGTGTTATTCATGGCTATTTTTTATCTTTGAATATTTTATCATTGAATATGTAATTTCTGCAAAAAGTAAAATGTAAATGGCAATTTATTTGATGTTAGATTCCCTTTAAAAACTAAATTATTTCAGTTTAAAAAAATGCATATAATGATTTTTTTTTAAATCAGTTTTAATATAGAATTTTATATTTGATGCCATTTTTACCTACCTGTCATTTGGGGCCACTTTTACCAGGGCCATTTTTACCGGGGCCAATTTTACCGGGGCCAATTTTACCGGGGTCAATTTTTCCTGGGCCATTTTTTCCAGGGCCATTCTTACCGTACACCAGCAAACTTAATCACTTTACTAAGTGGCACACCTTTCACCACAAGACAAACATATAAACAAGATGTCTACATAGTCTCATTATGAGGCTTTGGGACTGAAGTTTTGGTCGTGGAAAAAAAAATGTTGCCATGACAGAAATTGAACACATGACTCTGGGATTGGAAAACAAGTATCTTAACCACCAAGCTATACAACTCCATTTCAGTACAGTTTAATTAATTCAAAAATTAATATAAATTAAAAGGCTAAAAATAAAAATAAAATTTACCTTTAACCTCTAACTGTATGTCAACTTTTGAGACACCAGCTTTATTGCTGTCTCTTATACACATCTAGATGTGTATAAGAGACAGATATTATCTTTATTATTATTTATTATCTTTATTATTATAACTATTGTTTATTATTCCCAAATCTTGAAAATTATCATTAATCTCATTATTCTTTTTTTGTAGACTGACGTTAATAAAACAAAAAGTTCACGTGTATTACATTACTAAACACTTGCCAGGCCATAGCAACCACCCTTCGTTATCGATATTGTAATGACGTCAGTTAATGATCGATAAGCATACGCAGATCATGGAGCTATAATGAAATACTATAATTCCAGAACAGATATCATTCTCACCACAATTGGTTTCATCTGATCCATCAACGCAATCTGTATTACCGTCGCATCGATATTGAGAATTGATGCAGCCGTAGGTATACTGGCATTGGAACTGATTGGTACTACATGAATCTGAAAATTAATCACCGATAATTGCAACAAAAGTCATTGAGAGCAATTGTCTGATTATTTATAAGTGACGAGGCGTGTCGGTTCTTAAATCCAACCTTGAATGAACATTTGTAAAATGTGGTAATATGTGCATATTTTTCATTAGTTTTATTTTTTTTTCGATCACATCTAGTCCAAATATTGACATTGATTTGAGTCGACCCTTTCAGGCAATATACATAGATGAAACAAATGATATGCCCAGCGTTGCAGCTTATATACAATAGTGTTTTACAGACTGTGATATCTGGGTCTTTTAGCCAGAGGTGAGGGCTTGATGTCACCAAAAAACGTATGCAATTTTTAAATTTCTCCGACGATTTGTGGATTTTCTCACCGTACACCCCCCCCCCAACCACCACCACTTCCACCCTCTGCTCTTAGCCAATCCGGCGGCAAAGCCTACCTAAACTACCACTGCCGCTGGTTTCACCGCAGTTCTGCTCATCCGTAGTATCTTTGCAGTCAATGAAATTGTCGCACCACCAAGAGATGTGTATACATCTTTCTCCGTCGCATTGGAATTGGTCAACGGTGCACACAGATGGAGCTATATGGAAAAATGTTCGTGTTGGATTTTAGAAACGGCCTTTCGACAAAAGAACAACAGCATTATCTACGATTTTATAAACACACTTATGTTAGGCCAATATATAAGAAAAGAATGAAAAAAACAACATTTAATCAAATACCGGTACTAGACAACGTTAGGGTCTTTTCACCTATTCCATATATTTTATTCGAGTGATAATACATTTAGATCGTTGCATCTGCATCTATTAGACCTACATTCTGCACAAATGACTGGTGAAGCTATCCTGTTCAATATTTATTTACATTTTAGGCCCAAACATTACATCTTACCTAAGGTTGTCTTGGCAGCCACTAAGCACGTGGTGGCGAATTCGTCCACTCCCGTGTCACAGTCGACAAGGCCGTCGCACAAGTAGCTATAAGGAATGCATTTCTGTTCCCTCTCACAGAAATAACCAACAGATTGGGAACACTTTTCAATAGCTGTTATATAAAAAAAAATAAGGTGCCATAGATAATAGCCTAGTATGGGCATTGGAAACACTAATTATCGCAGTAACGGTTCGTTCAGTTTTTCAAAATATTTTCATAGCTACTACCGACAGGGTTCTCTAACTGGTTGTCTATTTACATATACAGTACACGGTTTTAGTGAAAATGTGTACAGAAACGGTAATGTGATGTGTTATTTTATTGTTGTTGTATTGTATTGTGCATTTGTACAATCCGTTATGGAATTAGCTCACCTATTAGCTCATTGCCATTATCATTATCATTATTTTTTTTCTGATTTTATAACAATCAACTTCAGCACTAATTTACCGATGCTGTTCTATTAAAGTATGGAATATTGAATCAATATTGTTTTCCTGGTTTTTTGGAGTGTGTATATTATATACCAATCGACCAATATCTGTGTAATTATCTGTAAATTTTCTATCGATTTATAATTAGGC